TAAAGAAAACCTAACACAATATCTAAAATTACAAAAATGCCTGTCTATAATTCAGGATATGCTGTCACGAGTCCTCTACATTCCGTTGATCACTCCTTAGCATACGTGGTCCATTTCAGATAGATCATCGATTTCCTTAACCGATAGTTGATCTCCTTGACCGATCTTCGATCTCCTTGACCGATCGTCGATCTCCTTGACTGGTTGTCGATCTTTTCGGGTGATCGTCGACCTCCCCGATCTTCGGAACGCTTAAGTGATCGTCGATAACTCTCTAAGACGGTGATCCCTGCCGATTTGTCAATCATCTTCTAGACTTTGAAGACCTCATGCATTCCCGATCGTGATATCTTGAATCGACCTTGGCAACTCAATATTCGATATCGTTGCTATCGCGGTATTGCGATACTCACTCTCGGTATAGTGGCATTCGATATTGATTTTGCGATATTTAGTCTTGGTATTGCGCAGCTTAACAGCTAATCGATCTTTATCAACGAATTGTCGCAGTTTGGGATCACTACACCTAACGATCGTTCCCGATTGCTTCGATCCGCTTTACAACATAGCCAAGATCTGGATCATGGTCATCGCAGTATGGTTCGCCTGAGGTCACTAGGCCATTTTTGCTTGCTGAAAATTGACCCACTATGCGATTAATTTCCATTCAAAATATGACGTAAATTTAGTCTCGATCGTGTTGGATTGCCTCACTAGCGTCGAAACAGGATAACCTTTTTTTGTATTCCTTGACTATTGTGTAAATCGTTTGCGTAGCCCTAGCCTTGGTCATAACATTCGGTGAACAAATCGACCCAAATCAGCAATTCTGTATTTTCCTTGTGCGCCTTGGGAAAAGACGGGAATGGTTCAATGCTTTAAATTTGAAAGGTTACGTTGCTTCGACATTCCCGGAGTCCCTTCTTGTAAGGTAGGTACCCCCTTTTTGGTTTTACACTACATGTAAATATTCATCTCTGTGTAGTCCGAGTTTTACATCCCAAATAATTTTTTCATTACCGTATAAGGTGGTAGATAGGTATAATTAATTGATAAACTTCTTTTAAAATAGCGTGATCATGATGAAAAAATTTAGTCAGGAAACTTTCGGGCAACATCAATTTGGCTGCCACATGTCGGTCGTCTCCTTCGTTTTTCTGAAGGGGGCAGTAAACTAGTTTTCCTTCCCTACTTATTTCGTATTATTCGGAAATCTAACTGCGTGATCAAGCTGAGTTTTGAGCTCGTTCTAGTCTTCTCTCCAAGTATGACCTCAGAAAACTCGCACCCGGCTCTCTTCTTTGTCGGCTTTTCGTATTCGGTCCACTTGAAGTCTTTGTTTTGCAATTTTTTCTCGACTTTGTTAGAAATGCTCATAGTAGATCATGATCGGTTATTGCAGATCTCTTGACAGGAAGGCTCCGGTCTTTAGAGACCTGCAACTTTTGAAAGAGATTGATTACTTTTAAACCTGGTCGCTTGTTATCAACTCGATCTCCTTCTTCTGGTGTAAAGACGTACGTGTCAATCGGTATGTACTCTGATCAGGACGCGTTTCAAGTGTAGTACTCTTTGAGCGAACCACTACTGGAGCTTCTTGAAAGCCTATGCTCGTAACGGGTACGACCTGAGGTCTTACGCTCGATCTCTCTGTCCATCTATCGTACGAGCAAAATACCCATAGATAATCAGTCTTTGTTTCTCTAGATGCATCAAAGTGTCAAAGCCCAGCAACATGCTCTCATGTTCGGCCTCATCTACTTTAGAATCAGCGGGGTAATCTGAGGCAGCCTCGATTTATAGTCCATGTATGAAGTCTCGTGCAATGGCGGTGCATGTCCCACCTCCCTGTTTAAGTCGAGCCGAACCATCAGAACTCATTAACTACAGTTCTTCTTTGCATGTTACTGTGGGCGTAGGTAGGTCGATCGTTTTTACTGCCTACTTCTAAAGGACAATAAACATTAAAATCAGGTCCGCACTACCTGGAGGGGTAAAACTGGAATTTAAATCCCTTAGCACCTGGTCTTCGCCTTTACTACACTTCACGTAAATATCTCCGACTTCTGCTTTTCCATCGCTTGGCTGATACCTTGTGGGTTGATGTTTTGCCTCTGTGATTTCTTCCGCACACATTGAAAAGTGTGTCGCTCGCTCTTTAGAACAGCTCTTAATGTTTTTATAGTATGCACCTTCGACCCGAATGGTAACTACGTGAAAAAATTGCTGGAATCGATCAATGCTGAAAGGTTTCCAGTGGTGCCTCAGAAAAAAGATTTATTTTAATAGTATATGCTGCTACAGTGCTGTAGCCCTTTATAACGACATTAAACATAATTAAAACGGGATGTATTTATTCTGAAGCGTAAGATCTTAAACTTTACTGCAATCGTTGGTAGGCTCTGCTAAAGCTCCATAAATATCTCCTTCAGAAGCATGGACAATATCGTTTTAGTAATCCATAAATGCTATCCAAATCTCGTCATCGGTATCTGGTAATTTTTTTGCGGCAGCAATTTATGATATAATTTGCAAAATGAATCCTGAGATAATGATGAATGCGATTTGCTACTTCTCCTTAATAGCCTTCATTTGGACAAGATCGAAATCGACGATAAGAATTTTGGCTGTCGCGGAAGAATTCAGCTAATCTCGTTCATCATCCATTTTGTCTCCGATATGAGCTTCCCCGTCTTTAAATTTTAAGGCTGCAGAGAAAGTCTGATACGCGCATGTAAACCCGAAGATGAGCAGTAGCCGGAATCTGTAGTCATTTGTATTGAAGGTGCAGTCTACGATTAAAAATACGTGGCGACGGCGAAAAAATCTTGCAGCTGTTCTGGATGCTAAGAGATATATCGAATGGAATTTGCTTCGTCTAAAGCGACGGTGGCGATAACATTATGGTCCGTTAAGTGCTTCATCAACGACTTTGTGTGCGTTTTGCCGCTCGGTGTCTTCTTGCTCGCCTTATAAATGATGTTGTACACATCACATGGTTCGATCAGAACGTCCATCTCTCGTAATCGAATTAGCAATAACCTGTTTACCTTCCAGATTTGTAAATTATAAGTATAAATTGCCGTCTAGAATCAGGAGATTAACACATACCCGTGGAGCATCTCTATCTTTATGTATCAAAGCGACATTGGCATCAATATTTTCCTCTTCTCTCGTTGCACGAAAGCAAGAGGTAGGGCAGATGTTATTGTTTTGTGGGTGCATTAGATGTGTCTGTTGTGGCAGCCATTCAATAGAGCGTCTACCATACGCTCTCTTCTGGCGCGCAATTGTCGTAGATTATCACAAGCTCACACAGGGGCAAGATTTTTCTTGATTTTCGTTATGTCAGTACCAAGGGCCTCCGTGGGCTTTCTTATAGTGCTTCACTTGCGCGCAACGGAGATCAACACGCTTGGTCCCGAATTGACTGCTGTGGTAGTTACTTAGGGCGAAACCTTGGTTCACAGAGTAATTTTTGGACCGCCGCAACAAAATGTTTCTGACCGCTGAATGGCCTGGCTTGTATGGTTCCTCATAGCTCCATAAATTCAGCAGCGGTTGCATCATTATGCCCTCATGGTCAACATCAAGAGCTGCATCATCATAGAAGAGGTCAAACGGGCTCATCCCATTAATGGTGATGATGGAGGTCAGTACAAACTGAAAGGTTGACGTGGCCTTTCGCTTACCCACATTTAACGTGCTTTTATAAAGACCAATACATAGGCAGTACAAATTATGCGTAGAAAGAAGTAAGCTTACGTTTTTTAGGTATACACCTCCCTTTTTGCGAGTCTCCCGGGAAATAGGTGTGCATTGTATCTTACTATGTCCCCCACAGCCCCTTAAACTGAGCTTTCTTTATTTCGTGAACAAGACTTGATTACAACTCTTCCCCAAGCTTAGTGGTCCTAATCGCATGGTCTCAAAGGCGATAAGAAGTGTTGTCTGATGACCCCTTGTCATCCCTCATCTCGGCGACAACCTCAACGAGACGTCTGCCAAGAGAACGATGCTGCCGACTGCACATGCAACAGGACTAGAACAACTCGTACTAACTTACAAAATTTATTATTAGGAAGCCTAAACCCTGATTTTAGGTATTAAGTATTTTTGACTCTGTTTATATTATTGTCTTTGAGATCAGCCTAAGTACGAATGGTTCCCTTGGACTCATGGGAACCATTCGATCTAAGTGCCTATATCTTACTGGCTAATAATGGGAACAAGCCCATAAAACCAGATAAAATATACGACGTGCTACTTCCGCTACCTCGGAAGTAGCTCCCTTCTTAAGTGACATGTAAACTTATTCAACACTACTCATTTAACGAGGTGGCCCATTGTATCACCCCCTTCTCAAAATAGCACTCACGAACCGTGAGTGCTCAACTGCAAGACCCCAACGGTCACTTAAACCAAGCGATGACCGAAGACGCGAATACCAACGACACAGCACTTCGCGCACAATCAGCGGAAGCTCAGTAGACTGCGTGATATCCCAGCATTTGATCCCTTAGGCGCTATACGACCTGTCCTAAGCGCAAGCTCCAGACTTTCTTTAAACGATGCAGAATTAGTTTCGCCGCTTTCGCAGGTTGCGCGGGAAGTGTCTTGAAGGCATCTCGTATGACTCACTGCAGCGTTCTTGGTGCGCGTTCGTCCGGCGATGGAGCCGGATGCTTAAAGATGAAAGAATTTTTCAACAGTGGCTTGCCAATCGTAGACGTTCACGCCGATCATTATATCGGCGTGCTGCGCGAGAAAAATGCGAGAATGCGTGGAACGCAGACCAACTCTGCTACGTCCATGTGCACGAATCTTGTTACTATTGTGACTCGATGCCTCGTCCAACTCGCGCAGCTTGGCGAAAGCATGTCGCTGAGCATCCACTTAGCGAATATGAACACCTCTGGAGTATAAGGTATGAGCGCAGCTTGAATGAGCGGAAGACTGCAGTTATTCGTGGCGCGTCGATACGGCGACACCACTCTCGTTCAGTGGTCGTGATGGGGATCCATCACGACGATCTCGTTATCGTGGTCGTGATGCATATCTACCACGACGATTGCGCTCTCGTGTTCGTGGTGATGCACGTTCTCCACGACGCTCTCTTTATCGTAGTCGTGGTGAAGCAAGTTCATCACGACGACACTCTCGTGGTCGTGGTCGTAGTGATCTTTCATCACGACATCGTCGTCGCTCTTGGTCTCGTCGTCGTGTTGACACTTCACCACGACGCCGTCGTCGATCGTCTCGTTCTCGTTCGCCACGAGAACACATACGTTGTCTGACGCATAAAGGATGGGCGTGTCCACGGACTCATATGCTTTAACGACGTCTGGAACGTCCTGAAGAAGTGACGAACGAAAGTTCCCACGTATCTTGCTCGGATAAAAACCCGATCCAGCGCACAAATTACTTGCGCGTGGTTGGAATCGCGCACGCATGAAGTCGCGACGAGGGTCCTCGTGACCCAGTAAATGCTCCGCAGTCCAGTGCTTTTGCCCTACCGCATCCACAAGCGGCGGTTGGCCGTTGCGATGATAGCCTTGGCGTCCTGGTTGCCCAGGAAGATTTGAATGCGGCGGTGAACAAGGCTGTCGATGCCCAGCTGGATGCAGAGGCTGCCACTGAGCGTGCTGCACGGGCTGAGAGGACTGCGAGCAAGATTCGACAGTCGAATCGCGAACAGCTCGAACGGCTGAGGCACCTGGAACGCCAAGTTCTTGGGCACGCGCAGGCTGGAACGCAGCCTCGTCCGATGTCCTCGGCGCGTCAAGCAAGACGGAAGGGAAGGTCAACATTTGAGCCTTCATCTCCGGGGTCGGAACCAACTCGTGAAGCGTAACCGGACGGCACTTCTTCAGTCACTCAACGTAGAACGTCGGGTGTAGGCGAAACGACGAAGGGATATCCAGCGTGTAGGCGTCGCCGATCGCCTTGAGCACCGTAAATGGACCAATGCATCGTGGCGCGAGCTTGCTCGCGCCTAAATTGGTAGCCGCCGAATCGCGTAGGACTTCAGTAGATAGCAACACACTGTCACCTTTCTTGAATGTACTCGTGTTCTTTTCTTCACGTTTGTTTGCATTCTCTTTCTGCTTATCCACTGCAGAACGAAGAGTATCTCGTATTAAACCTCGTTATAGCTGGACGTTAAAGTATGAACTCCGACACAGCCATGTCATCAATTAGTCGCGCCGACTCAATCGGCGCGTAGTTAGCTTTAGGTGAGCGCATACCCGGAGAAGGGTCAATCAGTGTTTGGTAGTCCATCGACCTAGCGGGGACGCCACGTCTCACGGAGTCATTACAGCGGGCCTCGACTTGGAACGGTTGACTACATTTGCGCTTAGAATACCGTGAGCTGCACTCGATCTTTAACTGTCACTTTCACCCCCCCCCTCCAGAGTGGATCTACGAAGAGCCGTGGGATGACTTACGGCAAGAAGAGCAGGAACTCGAGGGTGACGAGCTGAATTTGCAAATAACGGCGTCAACCCCTTTGACGCGTGAACAGCGTTATGAGTGAAAACTCAGCGGGTGGCAAGAATGTACTCCAACATGTGAAGGAAGTAGCATAATTATGAAGAACATTTTTGAGGACCCAGTTGACCCGCTCTGTTTGCCCATCCGTATCTGGATGGGCTGCCGTCGACATCTGCAACTCCATGCCAAGGAGCTCAAACAAGTCCAGAACAAAGATGTGAAGCGAGGATCACGGTCCGAGACAATGTCGTCTGGTAAACCGTGATGGTGAAACTGTGTCAGTGAAGTGGACCGCGGTCTCAGCCGCGATAACTGTTGCATGAATGGGCACCAAATGTGTCATCTTGCTATAACTATTTACGAAGACAAAAAAAAATCCGTTCGGTTCTGACTGTCGGGCGCTAACCCGAAGATATAGTACATTTTTACTGAGCGCCAAGCCTCAGCTGCAATCGGCAAAGGTCGCTGGGGGCCTGCGACAGTGGAGACGGAATCACACTTTGATAGATGTTGCATGTGCGAATCCAGTTGCGAACCCACTTGTACATGTGGGGCCAGAAAACGTTACGCGACACAGACGCAAAGTTTTTTCGCGGCTTAAATTACCGTTAGCTGGGGCATCATGGTACTCGTAGATGATGTGAGCACGCAGATCCAAGTCTTTTGCGATTAAAGTTTGAAGAGCATCGTATCGATCGATGCTGTATAACAGCAAATCACCATCCATACTGTATCGCTGGATGTGATCACGCTTCATTCGCGAAAGAGCTCCCAGTGCATTATCACTGGGAGCGCGCAGATAGGCAATAAAGTCCGCGTAATCTGGATCGTTCGCAGAAGCCGCCAATTGTTTTGGGAGGTGTGACTCGGGTGTGACCCGAGTTAAGCGTAATGACACGCACGTCGCGCATCGATCTTCCTCATCGTCGTCGTCAGTAGCCTGAAGACTCAGTGCCACCCGAGGGTCGTAATCTGGGCGTCGTGACAGCGTGTCAGCAAAAATATTAGTCTTGTCTGGATTGTAGCGCACGAAGGGAAGTGGTACTCGGAGAAGAAAGAGAGCCATCGTGCCACTCGCTGAGACAGATGTGGGCTCTTCATCGCTGTGCGCAGCGGTGCATGATCAGTATACAAGACAAAAGTGGTTTTGCCCAGTAGGCGCACTCGAAACTTGATTAGTGCATTGCGCATCGCTAGCAGTTCCTTGTCGTGGACCGGATAGTTCCTCTCCGCCGGCTTCATCTGTCGCGACTGGTGACTCACGACTCTTTCACGGCTGTCATGATCAAACTGCATAAAGGCGCAACCAGTAGCAAAATCACTTGCATCACACCACACGTGAGACGGCTTGGTGTCGTCCGGGAGTACCAGTACTGGCGCTGACGCCAGACTCTTTTTCACTGCGTCAAAGACCGCTTTATGCTCGGGACGCCACGACCACGTGGCGTCTTTCTTCAACAGTGACGACAGAGGTTGTATAGGACCGGCGTAATCCTTGGCATACTTATGCGAGTAGCTCGAAAGGCTGATCCATTCACGCAGCTCCGTAGGGTTTTTAAGTGTCGGCCAAGAACAGATAGACGACACTTTCTCTGGATCGGCTCTAACCCCCGATTTGCACAAATTGCAGCCCAGCGCCGGAATCTTCGGTGCACAGAATACGCACTTGCTTAAGTTTGCATACACCTTGTTATATCGCATGACTTGAAACACCTGTTTTAAATGTTAAAGATGCACTTGGACAGCACTGAGGTTGACTTCAAGGCGACTGTGGACAAAAATGTCATCGATGTAGCTTGGATCAAAGTCTCGAAGCGGTATCAAAACCTGAGATACCATGCGATTGAAAGTGGCTGGTGCGTTCTTTAAATCTTGTGGCACCACCAGCCACTACCATAACATACCACTTGGCGTGCTCACCGCTATGAGTGTATGTCTCTCTGTCGCATCAGAATCTGGTAGAATCCATCGGTCAGGTCGATGGCGCTGAAAATGACACTTTTCGACATGGAATTCAATACCATGTCTTTCCTGGGGTGGGCATTTGCGTGGGGATAGTGTCATCGTTTAGCTTACTAAACGCATGCACTATCCGACATCCTCTTGTAGCCTTCTTCACACAGAAGGTCGGGCTAGAGTGTGGTGAGACACTCTTACGCACGTGGCCCGCCTTACGAAAAACTTAGAAAAACACATCGATCGCCTCGATCTGGTCTAAAGGCAACGGCCACTGCCGGATAACACAGTACTTTGACCCTACCACGAAATCAATTTCGTGGTGCAAGTCACGATCGGCAGAATTTTAGACGGAATCTTGTCTGGGATGACACCTGCGTACTCTCGAAAAATCTCGTAGACAGGGTTACCGGACTCACGCAGAGCCTCCCATGACCGCGATACAAATCTTTCTCCGCGCGCTGACTTTGATGAGCGCTTCGAGGGCGCGTCATGTGCTCCTCGTTTAGCTCAGAAGTCACCTCGTTGGTGACCAGGCAAACTGTTCCAATATGCCTCCTGTAAAGACAAGTAGGAAACGCCTCCAGGAGAGCCTTGGGAGCCTCGTAATCGAAGACGCGTCGCGAGGTGGACTCGCGACTTCAATGAGTTGGCGCCTTTGTGGACTCCCGTCCACGTACACGTCAGCGTGGACGCATTCCGACGCTGTATTTTGGTAGCTTGCGTCCCCATCGAGCTTCGAGTTTATGCTCGTAACTAGCGATCCGCAGCTAGGTAACAATCCATCACCCCCCCCTCTATACACCGGATGTTCTCATCCAGGATGTCAAAATCGCGTGACGGGAGTAACTCATACTCGTCCGTCGACGCTTGAAGCGGGAGCCCAGACTCCACTAATAGAAAAGGGTGGTCCAGCTTCCAGGCATCATTGCATGCTGGAAGAGCTTACTAACCATGCCAATTTCAAATAATACATCATCGTTTAAGGGTTGAGTGACAAACATCGTAAAGCAAGTTTTCAGTATTCGCAGTGATGCCAACACTTCTTTTTTCCGCAGTACTGTGATCCAGATCATTCAAATTGAGGGTTCAGCTGTTTAAATATACTGACATAAGTAGGCTTCATCGAGTTTGTACGAACGACGCCGATATAGCTCATTCGCCCACATAGACGATAATCGCATTCTTCTCTGGCCGAGTCATAATGTAGCAGTATAGGCGCTGTAGCAATCTATTCTTCTTGAGCATGGCTAATGCTACCCGAACTCGGGACCATTTCTCTACGTCTTCCTGCTCGTTGTTTCAAACTGTCGCTGGTCTCTAACTTGCACCACCATGCACCAAAATCCACATTTCTCAATTCGTAGAGGATCGATGCATACACGATGTACTGTTCAGTGATCCCACCATTGTGGTGCAGACTTCCAATAAATGATTGCATAGCCATCAGTGTCGTCAAATACGGTAGGACGAATAAAGACTGAAGGTATTCCGTGTGTGGCTTTAGCACTCTTCTGAATACTTGATATCCGATAGTCTACCTTCCGACACCCCCACAAGCTCTTCATCGCACTGATTGACATGTAGAAACGTTACACACATCTAACAATCGTTCTAATTCCTTTCATAATAAATCCTACGAATCAGCTGGATCCAGTATTTCGTCTATATACGACCGTCGATTCAATATCGAGTGAACAGGCTTTGATACTGGTTTCCCCAAGCGAAAAGACCTTCCAACTAATATAAATTGGATCTTGGAAAATTCGGAAGTCCTATATAGTGCATTATATAACAGTCGCTGGTATATCTGAGGTGCATTCTTAAGCCCAAATGGCATCTGCAGCCATCCAAACGGCCCTCAAAGGGAGGAACAAGCCAAAGCCCGTCTCGCCCTTTTAGTCATTTCGACAACCCAAAACTATTTTTCGTATCAAAGGGACAATGCTACAATGCCTTATCCATTTGGGTAGCCACAAGTATTTAAGCCCAGATGGATGCTGAAGCATGTCTTTAGCTGTTCTTTCATAAATTAATTAGCAGATAGAAACACGCTTATGCCTCTCTGTATCTCGACTTCTTTTGCGTAGTTTGTCTCCGACCAACCATATGTGCCATAGAGAAAATTTACTCCGAACCACACCGGTGATAAGTGGCCACCATCATTAATATGACCTATAATTATAGCTGTGATCGTGAAGAATGGCCATGGCCGGTCACTCCTTTATCCCATTGGAAATCTCCGACGGCCAGTACCAAAAGCACACATGACTGGTACCAGACGTACTTACAATATCGTCGGTTGCGGTTGGTTTTCATTCCTACCGACTGCTTCACCATCGCACCTTTTACGTTGTACTAAGTGCAACGTACTATTTTCTTTCCACTCCAATAGGTCGATAGGCATTATAGGTGTCACATTTTGATCAGGTCATTATTTGCGACTGAGAAGTGTGTAATGTTTGTATAAGCAACAATGCCGCACTTTGCATTTTACGGCGTTACCTAGCAAGACCATCCCCGTTTCTCTTCCTTTTTTTTGTAAAGGGTGCAATTTGCTTGTACTGTCACAGTACTAGCTACTAACTCTGAACACAAAGTGAGCAGGTGCCATAGCATCTCACGCACACGTCTCTTGCAGAGGAAGTTTTCAACACGAGACTATGAAAAAAAAAGAGAGCTGTATTCAGTATAATGATTCTTCTTAAACGAATCTATTTGGTATTTTTCACCTATACTTGCAGGCAAACATGTGGTGTAACTATCTTATCATTACTCATTGCATTCTTCCGTCGTGGCTCGCTTGATTGATTGATTTCATCGTCCTGCATCAAATAGAGAATATTGTTTGAATTATGCATCACGATATTGCCTGTTCAGTAAATATTGTGAGAATCCGATGTCTTTTTTTAACCACAATATTCACACTCGATGTTGACCTTATGTAAAATGAATGTAAGGACTATCCCCGTTGCACAGACCGTCCCTTCATGTTATTTATAATAGTGACCGATTGATAATTGAGTGGCTCCATTGAATGACTATGGGACAGGGGAGGACTTGTTAGTCTACTCCATCCATCCTCTCATCTCATCTATGGTGAACAATTCCATGCGGTGCGCGGCGAAAGCTGCCGGGAATACTGCAATGAACCTCCGTTTCGTAGCCGCAGAAAGAGCCAACATTTAATCTAGCAGGCGACAGCTCGTCTGCAGCTTCTGTCGCCCAGCCTGCAGCAGTCGCCGCTATAGTTTAACGGGGTGATGAGCCGTGTGACATTAATAATTATATGCTTGATCTCATATATTCCGGCGAGTCGGAAGGCGATACTGACTCGAAGAAGTAAGCAACCGAGAAATAGCCAGAAGTGCTCATCCAGAGCCGACTGATTTTGCCTCACAGAGCGCTATGAGCATCGCTGAGCGTCATGACATCTTTGTCTCTTTTGACGAACCAGAATTCCATCTTTAAAATGGAGCCGCTTACTCGATAGTGCTCGAAGCGTCGCCTAAGGCCACCGCAGTGATGATGATGATGCAGTGATGCGACATGTCAATACTAATGTGCTGTTCATGGTTTCGGTACCCCTTCTCACATCACTCAAGAAGCCAGAGATCGTGGCAGCTTGTGCGTTGCTCCAAATAAACATGCGTGGCTACTTTTTCAGCTAGTGTTGGATTGCCTAATTAACTTGGGTAAGTGCTGTTATCGAGTGATACTATTCGATACATCAATGCTCCATGGAGTTCAATCTATTGCGATTGACTCTCGTACTTAGCATAGTTTCATCATCGATGTGTTCTTTCAAACATCGATGGTACAGCGGGAACCACAGACGTGATGGGACCTCGCTGATTTAGTCATATAACGCGTTTATCCGCAATGTTGGGGAGATTAGACGCAATGCCTGGCTGAACAACCTGAACGTATCTCACAATAGTTTTGGGAAGCCGAATTTTAACTGTGCACGTTATCAATTGCATTTAATAATCAAGAGATACAGGGTTACTATGCCTCTCATGGGGTAACCTTTGCCAACACTGTGTGAACATTCTGACACGGGCTCTCATGGAGGCGTATTTTATGAATGAACCGTGGCGGAGAGCACGTGCATACTCTAAGATGTACGATGAAATAACTAATTTACATTTTCTCTATAAACGTGCCGATGTTCGTTTTTTAATGGACCTTCTCAGGAAACGGATGTGCCTTTTTGTCCTACTACCTCGACTAGGCCTAGCACATCCGATCCAAGTTGCGATTGAGGCTCCCGGCTATCCTCCGAGGACGAATAGCCGCGCCACCGGACGAGATCAACCGTCCGCCTTCTTTTAAGTTGCAAAAATTCAGCAGGTGTTCCACAAGGAAGCGTTGTCCACCGCGCGCGTCGACCAGTGGATGAGGCAGAGGAGAAAATACGCTCTTTGAATTACTCAAAGCTTTAAGCTGTTGCTATAATCCATCTTGATGGACTAAAAAATGTGCGAGTTGTGCGAGGACCTCGAACACGTAGGAACAGGTGTCTGTTCCTACGTGTTCGAGGTCCTCCCACAACTCGGTTGACTTTGTAAATTATCTCTGCTAGAAGCGGAAAAGGACAATTTGAGTTGCCTTCGCACAGCGATACGACTTTCTCTTCGCGAAGAGCTAATGGGAGCTTTTTATAAGTCGCTCGGTGTCGCGGGGAGACCTTCGAAGACAGGCTAAAAGTCAGCACCGCGAGCACAAGTGTCTGTTGGAGATGC